ATGATGTCGGCGTCAACCAAAGCTTAGATCCTGTCTTTTAGAATAAAACAATTCTTGGTGGGATGATGAACCCTCCTGTGATATGCACAGTATTTTGGGTCAAAAGCCTTATTGGCTTCCTCCTGGTCTATAATTGGAGGCAACTTGATTTTGTTGTTATTGAGGTACTTAAAGATGATTGGAACATCATCATCTTAGAGGGTGTACGTCCTCTGAAATCTCGGATCAGGAGTCATTTGTTGCCCTGGGATTGTTGAAACCGCGACAATTGTGATGATTGCTGCTGCGGTTGTTGCCACGTTTGATTCGCATCGACAGCAGTCACAAGTGTCTTTCCCCTACCACGAAGAGTAAAATTAGATTTTGGAGAATTAACCGTCGGTTGGCCTCTCTCAATCTTCTTTCTTTTGAGGAAACGTTCGGCGTGTTCTCCGCGTAGTTTCAACTCCTTCCATGTTGTTGATGGGACAACCCTCATTGGCCTCCAACACATCAAGAGAGAGGTTATTGTAGCATGTTTGTAATATAAACTCTTATGTAACCGAATCTCTGCAATTCATGGCCCGGTTACGGAAGCGTTTAACAAAATTGTCAATTGACTCCCCTTCTCTTTGCTTTTCATCCAGAAGGGTTCCAATTGACACTTCAGTGTCATCGTCAAAGAAGTTGCTAAGGAACAAGTTTTTTATGTCGTCCCAGCAATTGACGCTTCCCGCTTTGAGACGTCGATACCAATCGAAGGCGACCCCACGAAAGGTTTCTACGAATGACCGAATCATCAAAGGCTCATTTCCAGATATCATACCCAACTGAGACTTGAAGTAGATCAAATATTGTGTTGGTGAGTCTCTCCCGTCAAATGGTGTGAAGTTAATTAGATCAAACTTTAGAGGGTACGAAATTGATTCTCACTCCCTTGGATATGAACACGGAATGTCAGTCTTCTTCACTTCTTGGACAGACATCAAAGCATTGACTTTATTCTCAAGCTCTTTCATCATTTTCTTGTATTCGCTCCCATCTTTCTTTGGGCGATGTTGAGGAAGATCAATTGGATTACCCCCGGCATGGGTAACTGACTGACCATCAACGGCTACGTTAATATCGTCGAAAGGTGCGTCAGCAATAATAACTTCGTCCATTTTCGGATCGCTGTCATCTGCATTGTTTTGAGCAGTCATGATGTATATAGTACGACGACTAGACTCAGTCCGATAACTGGACTCAGGTTGTTGGGTCTGAGCCTGTATTTTTTCATTTGTTGCATGGCCAACTCCATCTCCGTCTTCATTTTAGCTCTAATTTCTTCTCTTTATTTAGAGAGAGCTTCTTGAAGCATTTGCGCCATGGATTCAAGAGTGATTGTGCACACCTCTCGAGTCTGCCCTGCGCTTGACATTGTGTCATCGGAAGCAATTATGGAGCAAGTATCTGACAATTCATCATCTGAAAATACTCCTTCCTGCATCCTTCTATAGTCTCTTCGTCTGCCAGCTCTCAGCTGGAGTCAAGATATTCTTTGAGAGATTTCTGGATCAACTCTTCTGCCTGGGGTAAAGTCAAGATCAGAGCCAGTTGAATGATGTTTAAACTTTCCTTTTTCTTTACCGGTCATGTTGATAGTTACTTCAGGGAACTCATCATCTTAGACGACGGATCTTCTCTTTCGGAAACGTCTTGGCTTTGGCTCGACTCTTCTGTTGATAGTGTGAAAATTCTTTGAAATACAGACTCTTCATGGGAGGGCTTTTTGCTTGGAGCAACTACATTCCGAACGTACTGCTTTAATAAGCCTCTCGCACGAACAATGAGAACTTGTTTCTTGAATAGTCCTCTTTCGAGTCGAAGAAGTACTCGCACCCCCAATCTGATGGTACAGCTCATTGACATGGTTACCGGAGCACCCATCGTTTGTTAGTACGATTCCTCATGGATTTTCTTTCCATCCCCAAGTATAACTTTGTCTTTATTTGATAGATATGTCTTCTTTTAAGGATTTGGATATGACACCCTGTGTTTGGTGGTATCATGCGGCTTAAAACACTCCCGAGAGTGTTTTTAGCCTTTCGACCTTGTTGACATTCTCATGACAACTTGTTATTGCCTTTGAAAGATCCAAGGTCACGAGATGATCTTTTTCACCACGTCATGAGTCATGCGTTTAGAATCACCCCCTTACGGGAGTGGAGTCTCAACAGACTCCTGGGCTTCAACACGAACCCCCTGAGGGATGTTCTTCTTGCCCAATCGGGAGGCAACAGGAATTCTCCCAGAAAGGGAGGCCTCCTAGTCTCTTCTGTGCACAGCGCACGAACAAGTACATCAAGATGTCACGGTTTGTTTGGAGGCGGCGGGACACCTTTGCGCAATGGTTGACTTGATAGCAGTCGGTGCACGACCCCTAGTCTGAGGAACACTTAGGGTATTAATCACCGGACCCAAACGTTCTTTTTTTGGTGCCTTGCCTCGATCGTTGTGTCGAGGACCAAGGCGACATGCTAGTGTAATTCTGAATCTTGATAAGGCAGGGCAAACCCAAGGCTTCACTAGTGGCATGGTAGAAGTAGAGGCAGATGAAGCTGGAACGGAATTCGAAACAGGAGAGACTGTCATGGAAAGAAGTCTTAGGATGGGACAGTGTTTACTGTCTCGCCCAAAGGCTCGTTGGGTGGGACAGTCCACTGTCCCGCCCAAAGGGACTTTTCTTGACGGCATTCGGTTCTTAATTTTGCGCAGGTTCGGACTTTGGAATCTAAACCTTGTGGGATTTTAATGGTTCTCTAGCCATTTCTTTCTTCTTCAATTCTTATGTCTTCCGACTACGGGCACGTGCATGTGCATGTGTGGCATGTGCACGATGCTTTTGGATGCGTTCTTTTTTTATCAAACGAGTCCTCTTGACGAGAACTCATTCCTCCTTCGATAGTCTGACGGAAATACTAACTTGCTGCTGAAGTGACTCAGTTGCTTGGCGTTCCGTGCTTCTAAGTCTTCATAGTAGCAAACTCCGTCCATCTGTTCCATGACCCTCGCAAACTGGCGGGTCCTTCACTGGCGTTGTCTCTGACGAGCCCTTTTCGTCAGAGTTGGTGAACTTTCATTTTTATTGATTGACTCCTTCACTGGGAAGGAGTCATGGTAAGCTGAACATCCGGCTTAATGGATTGCCAGAATAATGTTACGAGGGGAAGCCTCGACAACGATTGGGTGAGAGTCGTCACCCTGAGTCTCTATTGGTGTGAAACTGGAAAAACTTCTTCGGAGATGAGATTATCCTGCACTTGCGGGGGGGAGAGGATCTTGATGAAGATGAGTATACTTCTCGAACTTAGCTTGGTCGAACTCGTATTTGAGGCCATTGACCATTGCATCGACTTGAATGTCAATAGGCTGCAACACTACAGTCTCTAGGCTGCAACACTACAGTCTCGATGATAATGGGACTGTTGGCTCCCACTGTGGTCGCTAACGTGTTTGCTTAGGGAACGATTTCCTTTGCGATTTCCATTAAATCATTTAAAAGAAACAAAAGAATAAGCGTTACAAGTGTAACTCTCTTCTTCACAAAGAAAACAAAATTGCACTCCCTAGTAACACGTACAAAAACTCCTACGTAGTAGTCTTTATTTGTGTGAGATTCTTTGCCTATGCCAAGGATGCGTTATCCGTGGACCACCAAGCGACGTTTCCAGGTCGTAGACGAAGAAGATTTGGGGTTAATATTTTAACAATGAAATAAGAACCGAAGTAAGTATCTCAGCAAAGTAAGACAAATACTCTTCTCAAGATTAAGTCAAGGCTTAAACTCAAGGAAACACCAAAAGACTTCGAGAATACTCGTGAGTGGGTTAACAACTCTCTTGCTCTCAAAATTCGCCAAATGCCAGCTTTGTTTTTTGCACAAGTGTGTAGAAGGGTAGTTATAGGGGTAGGAGACCATAACCGCCAAAAAGAATGCAAATAGCCCCCTGGAAACTGTCTCATGCTTGCGAGCCAGTTTCCACTGTCTCGGCCAAAGGTGACAGTGGCAGAGATTTTGTAACTGCTCCCCCACTACCTTAAAGTGTGTTAATTGGCGCACTTTTCGAAGGTAGTGGGCGTGTTTCCAGGGTGTAACTGCTCATGCACGTTAGTGGGCTTCCACACGTGAGTATGGAGTCAGGTAGGTCCCACAAAACTCCACAAAAGCACCAATAAAACCTGGGGAAACTGTCTCATGCTTGTGAGACAGTTTCCACTGTCTCGCATATGCGAGACAGTCTACACTGTCTCGCATATGTGAGACAGTGGAAAGGTCTCACAAGCTCTGAGACAGTTCCGAGTCTCATTCATCTCAGGTGTTTTGTATTTGCTTTGCATTGGTTGGTCTTTTCTAGCTTTGGATGATGACATTCTTTGTCTTCTCACTAATTTAATCTGTGTGTGGGACCCATAGGTAATTTTTGATGCCTACATCTTCGAAATATAGTTTTCTCCCACCTACAACTTGATAAAATTGATACATATTTTTTTTCCATACATCTTTGATAAGGGCAAATGATCCTTCATAGTTTGAATGTCCAACCCAGTAGCATGTCATGGTGAAATTTAAATACAATATCTCACAGGATCATAGGTGCAAACAAGGACAAGAAATAACATGCATCCGTGCCTACCAGTAGCCAAAGGAAGTTATAATTCACAACTATAAACACTTACGCTGGCACAGTATAATATACGCTGAACTACATAAAAAAAAATGCCTTGACCTGGGATTTTTAAAACGTGGTGCCTTGCAACTGTAGGAAAAGAAAAGCGAAGAATGCTTGTTAAAGAACGAAGATAAGTGCAACAGTTAGTTCCATACGGACAGTTTTATCAAATTTTCACTCATTCCCAGATTAAAATACTCATCTCTCGGTCATAGCAATATCTAGGAACGACCTAGGACCAAAAAGGTCAAAGATACACTTCACTTTTTTAAGAAAAATATACGAAATTTTAAAGCACCATAACCATACCTGATGCTTCCCATCAACGGCTATTACTTTAAAAGGATGCCATTCTCGGTTTTTTAGTTCGTCTTGCCACTTTGAACAATATTCTGCAGTTTTAATCTCTACATCGCCTCCAGGAAATCTTTCTTTGCATGCAATGTGAAATGCCTTGGCACAAATTTCACCCATTCTCTTTATTCCAATGAGCGCACAGCTGTTGCTTGACATTTCCTTCAGATTCTACATTAATTTTGAAGTAAGAGATTAAGGACAATAATCACAAAAAATATTATAGCCTAGGGTATTCCTATGGATTAACCGATCTAGGTTCAGTTTCTTACATGGATGAGCTCTTTGCGAGCTTCTTGTAGCTCATCATTGGCACGTCTTTCCTTGACAACTAAAGTTTGATTAAGATCCTCCAGAGCTTCCATTTCTTCAACTTTGTCCTTCAGTTCTTCATCCATTTCATTCACTTTCTTCTTCAGTGCTGCATCTTCTTCATCACCCATATGCTTCATTACCTGTATATTGCTTCTAAGCTGTTGGATTTCCAGTTCCATTTTGTGTATATGATCTAATTGCTTCTCTAATTGAATTATCTTGTTGAACGCACCCTTTTTCTCATCCTGTATAACTTTGTGGTATCAAACATAAGTCTCAACCAAGAAATTTACTATGCATGATAAAAAAAATTTGGGAGTTTAACTAACCTCCTGTTTTTTAAGAAGGGACAGAACATCTTCATCAGCCTTCTGTTGCGTTGCCATTTGCAGGGAGTTGTTTTTCAGTTCATTCTGCACAAATCTCGTATTTATCATTTTTCCGTGTAACTACTACGTTCATGCTACAGATGCCATATAATGAATACTTTTTACTTTTAAAACAAATATATGAAAGTAAAGATGGAAATCGTCATTTCATGTGTTTGCTTGAAGGATATATCATCCTTTGACAAACTTCAGAAAAAAGCTAAGTCAGCTACCAAATACATGGCTTTAGATGCTGTAACTTTCATAGCAAAAATTAGCATTGCTTTATGATCCAGTTCATTAAACTACACTGTTTCAAGATATTAATGAAGAGGAATAGCTAAAAATATGTATTATTTTTCTAAACAACTAAATATTTTATTATGCTAGTAACTGGATATCAAGCCATTAGTTTTCTGTACTGTTATTTGACAAAATAATCTGGGTAAAAGTGATTTACAATCCTTGTAAATGCGTAGAATCTACATTATTGAATGTGTATGAATATACTATCCATTATGGTAGTCTTCTTTAGTGCAGTGTGCAAATGTATTTATGAAAACTGCATGTTCCTTTAAGTTTTAAACTGCACTGTTTCAAGATTTTAATGAAAAGGAATAGCTAAAAATATATATTATTTTTCTCAACAATAAAATATTATATTACTGACTGGATATCTAGCCATTAGTTTCCTGTGCTGCCATTTGACCAAATAATCCGGGTAAAAGTGATTTACAATCCCTGTAAATGCATTGAATCTAAATTAATGAATGTGCATGAACATACTATCCATTATCGTAGATTCGTAGTGCATGAACATACTATCCATTATCGTAGTCTTCTTTATTGCAGTATACAAATGTATATATGAAAACTGCATGTTTCCTTTAAGTTAATCAGGTATGGATTAACATAGAAGTTGAACTTCTAAGAACTATGCACCACGCCACTTTGTTTACTGTGAACATCCCATCATAACAGAGATGACAATACAATATTGTCTTCCATCAGCACATGGCAATCTCTTCAAATTAGTTTACAAGTGTCAACTGCCTTCATGAATTTCTCTGGAAAGAGTAAAAACAAAGATATTGGCTAAATAGTAGTCATCACACCAGAATTCGAGCTAGTATGCTCATCATGAAATTACAACCCAATTTGAGCTACAATGCTCATCATGAAATTACAACCCAACCTTAAGATTATGTCAATTTAGATGAGAACAAATGACAGCACATTAAGAATGAGAAGCAAGAAAATAAATCTCCACTTTGAATCAAACAACCAAAGAAAAGCATTAGGTAAACGAAAGAGATCTTGAAAACAGTCATGTGAAGCGAAAAATGCTTCCTCAAGATGATATCAAGTCACTGGCAAGTTGTATCAGGAAATAACTCACATACGAGAAAGAATTATCAGGCCTTAGAAACAAGATGATACCTTTTTCTTCTCATCTTCTAGCTTTCTACGATCAATAACATTTCGAGCAGCCAACTGATCAAGTTGCTTTTTTCTTGAAGCTAATTCTTCCAATTTACAATTCAGCTCTGATTTCAGTTTCTTATTTTCTCTAAAAATTCTATGTGAATGATTCCGGTTCTCTTCCTGCATCTTCTCAATTTCTACCAATGCACAAGAACACAAAATTCTGTTGAAACTAGTCAGAGTAAAAGTAAATTGGCAAAAACCAAAAAGTTAATCAGCACTAAGTATATTCTTCAATATTTTGGTCAATATAATACAAGGTAGGCAGGCTGATTAAACAATCATTTAACTTTCAACTTATGCCATTTCAAATTGAAGCAAAATCTACTAATTACTACGCCAAATTGTCCTCCTTAACTCAAACTTGATAAACCAGTTTAAAATATTTACATGGCCAATTTATTGGGCTTTGCTTAATATTGCTGATTGTCTTTCCTGACAGATACAATTGTTGAATTTGTTTCGTATATAGAAAATTTCCATTCTCAGTCAAGGCAGCAGGTTATGACCTCTATGGCTGACATCCTCTTTTCTAGCATGTTCTACGTGTATAAGAAAATATTTCAAGATAGAAAGCAAACAACAAAAACAAACTCCAACATGATGCATACCTCTGTTATGAGCTTGCTGTAACCGTTCCTTCTCAGCCATCATCTTATCTAAGGACATAGTTGTCTGATTGTACTTACATTCGAGTTCGTGTAAATGCTTGGTCTTGGCCTCTATCTCGCTTGCCAGATTAGCTACAAGTTCACCGGTTCTACGATTTTCTTCATTTGACAAATCGGAGACAGTTTTAAGATCTACATTTTTTCGCAAATGCTCCCCAATGGGGCCAGAAGATTCATAATCATCACTTCTTGCAACCCAACCATAAATGTCAAACCCACGGTGTCTATTTCTTTGCCAATCCTTTTTACCAAAACGTTCTGATTCAAAATGATTTTCAAATGCCATCGCATCCTTGAATCCACCCCAGTCTTTGCTGAAATCAACAACTGCATTCCCTGTATGACCTCTATGAGTCCATATTGCGTGAACTTTTACAGGGTTAAATCTAGAGAGCTGCTCTTTAAGCCTTGTTCCACTCTCAGCTACATATCTACCATCCTTGAATTCTGTCGGAACATTGACAATAATGCCCATCCACGGCCAAACAAACTTATCCTCTTTCTGCTTTGGAGGTTCAATAACCATTAGCTGCAGTGATGGACCTGCAGAATCAACAAGGTCATTCTTTAAGAATTTTTCCAGTGCCTGATGATCCGCTTTCAGTTTTGCCTTCCGATTAGATGCCCCGATTCCACTAGCATGCTGAAGCAGATCCTTGTACTGGTAATCTTGTTTCTTCTTGCCCACACAGAATGGGCATCTATATACACTTTCTGAGAATTTTACTTTCAATTCCTTTGTCCTTAAATACATGTAAGATTTGGCCACCGAGTCCTCTATGTCAGAATCACTTGCATCTGATGCTTCACCAGAGCTGTAATCCATGCCCTGCGGACAAGTGAAGCTAAAAAAGAAAAACAACATTTTGAGTATCATTTAGTAAATATTGGCTGAAATACAGAATATTTGGAAAATGAAAACATATGATTACATGGTTTTTAATCGGTAAACTTTGAATTTTACAAAGCCAGACAAAAATTCCGGGCAAGAATATCTATTTTTTATGCTCTCAAAATATATGTGAACCGATGCACCATTGAAATGAATAAACCGGGCAAGAATATCTATTTTTTATGCTCTCAAAATATATGTGAACCGATGCACCATTGAAATGAATAAAAAAGGAGTAAAATGTGGAAAAAGAATTACAAATTAAAATTTGATGAATTAGTGATGAGTAAAAACATAACATTTTATCCACTACATAAAAAAGAGCACAAAGACTAAACAAAATTTTAGCTAGGGGGTTAACTTATTTAACTCTTATGTGTTTCTGAAAAAGTTAACAGCCCTCTCCTTAGTCCTTCCCCCTTAAAACTTTTGACAAATAAGGCCAAAGTCAGAGAACCATAACATTAGGCTTAATTGCAGTTTGATTTGCTATATTTTCCCCCATTGCTTTTATATACCTTCACTTGTTTTTTGCAACACTTATGTACCCTAAAGTTTTTAAATTTTGCACTTTTATACCCTCAGTTACACAAAAATGAGAACCCCTGTTCTATGCGACGATAACATGTTAATTTTAGATAACTCTTAATACTTGTTAAATTTATTGTTAGACCTATCAAAATCTTATTTTAAAGTAGAATTAGGGTAAGTTTAAAATAGAACTACATAGTTTTAACAAGAAATTTAACAAAAATTATGGGTTAATATTTTCTAAAATCAACATCTAAGTGTTGCATGAGGATTTTCAAGGGGAAAGCCTTGTTTTTACATGACTGAGGATATTTAAGTGCAAATTTTAAAAGGAAAAAATGTATATAAGTTGACAGCCCATTGCAAAATGGGTTGCCAGCTCAATGTCATGTGAGCCCCCTTGCTAGGCACATCAGGACGCTCACATGGCTAGTCACATCAGGATGCTCACATGGCAGTGAGCTGGCAACTCATACCTAGTATCCTCATTTTAAAAACTTTAGGGTATATAAATGCTGTGGAAAAACAAATGAGAGTATATGAGTGCAAAGTAGGGGAAACTATAGGGTATCTAAGTGCAATTTAGCAACAAAATTATGGGGAACCCCATTTTTACACTATTTAGCCTTTCTCTGAACCAACTTAGTGAAATTGTGTGGAAAGCTTAACGAGAGCGATCAAATCTCCATGCAACCCAATCTAAACAATAACAAAACCACCCTTCTCTCTCCCCCATTTATCAATCTCCCTAAAAAATACAAAAAAGGAAAAAAATGAAAAACCACATGATGGCCTTACATGAATATATTACATATGAAACCCTGATCCAAAGAACAATGCACTGAACAAAAACCTACCCGATGTAGTTCAACTACAATCAACCCATAACAATCACTAATTGCATAAATTCTATGAAAATGAATCCAAATGTTTTTCCCATTATCTGTCTTCTCAATTCGAATGTGGGAGAGCTCAACACAAACGACCAAATCTCCATACAATTCCTCCATCTGAACAGTACGGGGGAATAAACCTAGCCAATGTAGCACTGCTACTACTATCTAGAAATAACGATAATGATCTGAAACTATTTGCAAAAAAAAAGAATTAAAATTAGGGAACTAGGGTTTTGAGATGGGGGAAATTTTTTTTTACCTGAAAAAGGAGTAGCTGCAGCGCTTTAGGGAATTATTATAGCAATCGAGACTGGGGCGCTTTCGTTTCTGCTGCTTTAATACTGTTGCATGCTGTATATAGAAGTATTTGTTTCGTGCACCCGCTTTCCGGAGAACTCGGAAAATCGCCAAGGCGAGAAAAATGGGACCGCTCGCTGGGTTGGTGTGTTTTGATTTCGTGGGGCCCACTGAGCACCTGACGGTGAGAACAGAAAGTCTACGGAATTCGACCACGTGGCGGTTTAATATCCGTCGGTTTACTCTATCGAACGGCGGAGGAGAAGGGATGCAAATAATTGAAATTTTTTGCTTGAGAATTCTCTTTTAAAACTTTTTTAGTATTACTTATTTGTTATGAAATAACGTGGATGTCCATTTAGTTTCCCAAGAAATTGATATTCCCCTAGTACATTAATCTTATTTCTAGAACAACACAATGCATGTTCTTGAAAGACTAAGTTCATGAATGAGTAATTAATATGATTTATGTATCCTAGAACAACACAATGCATGTTCTTGAAAGACTAAGTTCATGAATGAGTAATTAATATGATTTATGTATCATCATCTTAGTTTGTATATAAATAAGAAAGACTAAGTTCATGAATGAGTAATTAATATGATTTATGTATCATCATCTTAGTTTGTATATAAATAAATGTATTCCTACCTCACTTTGTAATAGCAATCAAGAATGAATGAGATAAAATTTCCCTCTACTTCTCATCTACCTTTTCTTCTCTACTTCATTAGTTTTACAACACGTTATCAGCATGAGACTCTACCATTGAAACAATCTTCTTCAAGTCCATTAGATTCATCGTTGGACACGTGTTGATATTTTGGATATACTTTCGAGGTATAATTTCTCTTTCCAATTCAATTCATTTTTCACTATGACTAACTTTACAAAACAAGAATTTACGCCACTTGATATTTCTGGAAGGAACTACTTATCTCGGATATTAGATGTTGAAATATATCTTGCTGCAAAAGGTCTTGAAAATACTATTGTGGAAGAAAATGAGACATCAAAACAAGACTGTGCCAAAGCTATGATTTTCCTTCGCCATCATTTGGATGAAGGATTAAAAACTGAATATCTAACTGTGAAAGGTCCACTTACTATGTGAAATAATTTGAAGGGGAGATTTGACCACCTGAAGTTGGTCGTGCTCCCAAAAGCCCGGTATGACTGGCTTCACTTAAGGCTACAATGAAGTTGGTCGTGCTCCCAAAAGCCCGGTATGACTGGCTTCACTTAAGGCTACAAGATTTTAAATCAATCAGTGAGTATCCAAAAGCCCGGTATGACTGGCTTCACTTAAGGCTACAAGATTTTAAATCAATCAGTGAGTATAATTCTACAATGTATAAAATTACCTCTCAATTGCAATTGTGTGGAGAAAATATCACTGATGACGATATGTTAGAAAAAACATTATCCACCTTTCATGCCTCGAATATGCTCCTGCGACAGCAATATCGAGAGAGAGGATTTAAGAAATACTTTGAATTGATTTCATGACTCCTTTTGGATGAACAAAATAATGAATTATTATTGAAAAAATCATGAATCCCGACCTACTAGTTCTAGCACATTCCCTGAAGCGAATGCAACTAAATCTCAAAATCATGGTCGTGGAGGAGGCCAAGGATATGGCCGTTATCGTGGACGAGATCGTGGCAGATATGTGCCTTACAATCACATTGATCATAGACGTGATAGAAGACAAAACAACTCCCAGAAATGGGACAATAATGATAAGAAAAGTGAAGAAAAGAAACATTATGAGGAAATATGCTACCGGTGTGAAATAGAAGGTCATTGGTCCCGTACCTGTCGTACGGCAAAACATCTTGTTGACCTCTATCAGGCATCATTAAAAGAGAAAGGCAAAAATACCGAGACAAATTTTATTGATCAAAACAATGTTTATGATGATCTTGATGATATCACACACCTCGATATAGTTGATTTCCTTGAGCAACCTGAAGTTACGAAATGATCCCATGATAAATACCCGACATTTTGAATTTTGTTATTTTCACATCTTTTATGTAATTTTCTTTATGAATTTTGTAATTTATGGACTTTATTAATATTTACTTTTGTTTGAAATTTTCTTTGTTGTTTCTTTCTGAAGAAAAAATGGATGTCAAATATTTGGGATCAAACAATGGTGATGATAATACTTGTCTCATTGATAATGCTACTACACACACTATACTTAAAAACATGAAGTATTTTTTTATTTGAAAATGAAAGAAATAAATGTTAACACAATAAATGGTAGTGCTAAATTGATTGATGGCTCCGGAAGAGCCACTGTATTTCTCCCCGAAGGAACTAAAATTGTCATAGATAATGCACTACTCTCGATAAAGTCTCGAAGAAATTTGCTAAGTTTTAAAGATATCTGTCGAAATGGATATCATATCGAGACAATGAATGAGACAAATGGTGAATACTTAATGATTACAAATACCATTTCTGAGAAGAAATGCGTATTAGAAAAATTTGTCTTCTCCATCTTTTAGTTTATATTATACAAAAATAAGTGCAGTTGAAATTTATCACCTTATAGACCAGAAGTCTACTAATCCCAATGATTTGGCATGATCGCCTTGGACATCCTGGTTCTATAATGATGAGGAGAATAATTGCAAATTCACATGGACATTCATTGAAAAATCAAAAAAATACTAAATTCTAATGAATTCTCATGTGTTGCTTGCTCCCAATGGAAGTTAATTGTTAGACCATCACCAACGAAAGTGGGAATTGAATCCCCTGCATTTCTAGAACGAATTCATGGTGATATATATGGGCCTGTAGATCCACCATGTGGACCATTTAGATATTTTATGGTACTAATTGATGCATCAACAAGATGGTCACATGTAAGTTTGTTATCTAGTCGCAACCTAGCGTTTGCGAGATTGCTTGCTCAGATAATTAAATTGCGAGCACAATTTCTTGATTATCCCATTAAGAACATTCGTCTAGATATTGCTGGTGAATATTCATCACATGCCTTTGATGATTATGATTATCCCATTAAGAACATTCGTCTAGATATTGCTGGTGAATATTCATCACATGCCTTTGATGATTATTGCATGGCTATTGGGATAAGTGTTGAACATCTTGTAGCTCATGTGCATACACAAAATGGTCTAGCCGAATCATTTATTAAATGACTTCAATTAATTGCAAGATCATTGTTAATGAGGTCTAAACTTTCTTTATCTGCTTGGGGACATACTATATTACATGCAGCAACACTTGTGAGAATTAGGCCGACAAGTTATCATATTTATTCTCCCTAACAAGTAGTTCTTGGTCACGAGCCTAATATTTCAGAGCTATATCATTCAAAGAGATACTCAAGACATAGATGAGTTCAAGGCAAAATGAAACAAAGAAGAAGATATACTTTATTGTCAAAATATAATTTTATATTTTCTTTGCTTAGAAATTTGTACAAGCCTTGGTCACTCACACACATGCACACACATAGTGTTAGAACACACTAACACATGCTTAGTATGTTGGTTAACAATAGAAATCCCTTATGCTAGTCATTAGAGTTTATAGATATTGAGTGAGTCTTAAAACATTTTATTTCTACCCCTTAGCAATTAAAATCTGGAAAAACTCAAAAGATCAAAGTTGTAGATCTCTTCAAGAGCTTTCCAACAAATCTTAAATCACCTCATTCTGATATCGGATGAGAAAGTTACAGTCAAAATACTAAAAAAAATTCCAGAATCTGAGTTTACAGTGTAGTCGACTACTATGTCTTGTAGTCGACTACTAAGCAATTTTCTGACTTCACAGAGTCTGTTTAGACTCAGTGTAGTCGACTACTATAACTTGTAGTTGACTACAGATGTAGTTTTTCATATTTTAGGTTTTGAATAAGTGACTGTTTATAGCCGTTTTGTGTACGTTTTTAGGGGTTGAAAACTTATCTTTTCAAGTGCTATAAATAGGTTATAAGTTCAGAAATTTGCACAACTAACTCATACACATAAAATCAAACATTTGTGCATATTCACTCTCTAGTTTTCCAGATTTTCATGCTAAGTGTTTAGAAAAAGAGAGTTTCAGATATTGCCTTGGTTTCAATCATTCTTAGAGATTGTATATGCAATATTCAGAGAGTTAAAAGAATCCTAAGCCACTGCAGCACTTCACTACACATTCAAGGCTTATAGGATCAATTGTGTTCTTGCTTCAAAAAGGATTTCTCTCGGGTTTGAGAGGGTTGATCTCTTGGTTTAGAGATTGGGTGGCAATTGGCATGGTCTTGTCAATTGGTGTTGCAATTTGCATGGTCTCTCAAGCGGAATTTGCTTCGGGACTGGATGTACACCAGGGAGGTGGAACCAGTATACATGCTTGTGTTTGTGATGTTTATTTTCTGAGATTGTCATTCTTTCTTTGTAATTTATAATCTACTTTGCAAACTCACCCCCTAGTGTTTAAGTATAAAGCTTCCGCAGATTTTTATAAGAGCGCACTCTATTCTTAAGGGTCACGATCCTACACTTGGTATACATAAGCAAAAACATGACCTTACATTTGGTATCAGAGCGAGGTGAAAGATGACATCAACAAATACATCACAATTCAAAGAAGGTCATTCTACAAATCGTCCACCAATGTTCGATGGATTGAACTACAACTATTGGAAGTGTCGAATGAAGATTTACCTCCAATCAATTGGCTACGAACTTTGGAGCATTGTGAAAACAAAATGTGAGAAGCCAACCACTCCTTTCATGGAATGGACTACATCTCAAAGGAACAATGCAAACTTGGATTCTAAAGCAATGAATGTCTTATTTTGTGCTCTTGACAAGAATGAGTTCAATAGGGTGTCAACGGCCACATCCGCATATGATATTTGGCACACACTCGAGGTAACTTATGAACGTACAAGTAATGTTAAAGATACTAATAATAATTTCATTTGTTATGGTTGCAATAAGCCAGGACATATGAAGAATGATTGTCACCTTCTAAAATCAATGTCAAAGTCTACAAAATATCAACAAGAAAAGGAAGGCTTTGGCGGCTACATGGGATGATAGTGATGATTCCTCTTCGGATGAAGAAATCGAAGAAAAGGAAAGCGCTCATATGTGTTTTATGGCACAAGATGAAGTAAGTGACAATAAAGAGCTTTTAGATGCTTTCAATGAATTATATGAAACATTTTTGAGATTAAAGGCTTCACATAATTTTCTTAAAGGTGAAAATAAAAGATTACTTGAAGAAATTTCTAATTTAAATTCTTTTACTATTTCTTATTCCCAAGTAATTGAATTGAAAGAGGAAAATAAATCCTTGCTTAAAGAAAATCATATTTTGACTAATGAGAATGTTTATATAAAATCAGAATGCAATGATTTAAAAATCCGCATTAATGTTTTAGGTAAAGATATTTCTTCTATTAAATTAAAATATGATGATATATGTTTGAATGTTAGTAAATTCAATAAAAGTAAATAGAATTTGAATAATTTGCTCTCATTTCAAAAATCTTCAAACTATCATTTTGGCATTGGATTTGTTCCTAAGTATTTTACAAAGAATGATTATGTTTTGAAGAATAATTTCATGCTAAACAAGATAAGTATATATGGATTCCTAAGAATTTGAATATTCATGATAGGAATGATTATATTTCATCTTATATGTATGAAGTTTACAATTCAAAGAATTACACTTATGTTAATAAATGAAAACCAAATTCCAAGTGGATTTAGATTCCTAAGGGTTAATCCTAATGATATAATATAAAAGGGTACCAAAGTGTTTAATATTTTTATTAAGGTACCCGGGAAAAGAAAAATTTAACTAGAATTATGTTTATTTCTTTTTGTTAATGACAAAGGGGGAGTTATATAGAAAATTTTAAATTTTTTTACTAATGCTTTGATGTGATGCAGGGGGAGTAAAAGATTTTATTTAATGATTTTATGCAGGGGGTTAAAATTTTTATATCTTCATAACATATATTTGTCATCATCAAAAAGGGGGAGAATGTTAGGAATCTTGACCCCAAGATTAGTTTATTTTGATAATAACAAATATTATATGTTGTGTGTATTATGTGCTAACATTTTTTTGCAGTATCAGAGCTATATCATTCAAAGAGATACTCAAGACATAGATGAGTTCAAGGCAAAATGAAGCAAAGAAGAAGATATACTTTATTGTCAAAATATAATTTTATATTTTCTTTGCTTAAAAATTTATACAAGCCTTGATCACTCACACACATGCACACACATAGTGTTAGAACACACTAACACATGCTTAGTATGTTGATTAACAATAGAAATCTCCTATGCTAGCCATTAGAGTTTATAGATATTGAGTGAATCTTAAAACATTTCATTTATACCCCTTAGCAATTAAAATCTGAAAAAAACTCAAAAGATCAAAGTTGTAGG